GTTGTGGGAAGATCTGTTAATTTCATAGACACGGACCCATTGCTGCACTTCCCTTTGCTGGGAAATGAGTTCCCTGATTAGATGCCGCATTGTGTGGGAAGCGCTGCTGGCAGATAAACCGTTCTGTGAGTTCACAGATAGTGGTGCCGGCAGAAACATTATAAGGGGTAAAGGATAATCTATTTTCAGAACATGTGATTATTCCAATATGGATGAAACTTTGCCCCCTCCATGATGGAAGAGGTCCAGTATAACCAGTTTGCCATCAGACAGCTGGTTCAAACCCTGGGAAAGCGGGCCATATCAAGAACTCAATGTTGTTTTCTACTCTTGGCAAATTAGGCACTTAACAGTAGTGTTGAGATGAGCCTTGGTTAAGGAGAGGTCCAGATTGTTGAGCACATGCAGAGCCTGCATCCTTACTGCCATGGCCATTTTGTTCAAGGGCCCGTTGAACAAGCCCTGGATGACTGGTTAAGAGGCTGGTTAACAGCCACAGATAGTGCCATTTTGTTCTCCTGATTATTAGCAGTCTCTCCTGCAATGGATACATTAGCATGCATCAGAATGCAACACAGATACCTTCCCACTGTGTGCCCATTTAGAGAAATTGATCTATATATCTCTTCCCCACACTTCCTTGTCACCAATCTTCCAATCTTATTCCTTCCAAGTCCCTGTATATCTAGAAAAACTGTTAGCAGTTGCCCATTCTGGTCACCCCTCGCTCTAGACTTGGTGCACAAACAAATATACTGTTCTAATTATGCCCCCTTGGGAGATTTTCCTTTACCACTGACTGTCCTTCAGACCCCTGAGTGGGCAAGGGGATCCATCTGTGCTGTAGGAGGCAGATTCTAGAGAAGACTTCCGTGCTTCAGGAGCCTGTCCGGGGGATAACACTGAAACCAGGAAGCAAAACACTTTCCTACTTCAGCGTCTCTCCAGCCTTTTCTACTGATAAAACTTAACATTCTGATAGCTAGCAAACAAGAATATTTAAAGGATCAAGATACATCTCCACAGAGCAGACACAAGGTGAATTTGGCAGTGGGAGTGACAACTCCATTTCAATACAGTTGCCCCAGCTTAGCTCAGAAATCCGCCTCTCTGCCAATCATTATCACTACTGCAACTCCCATTAAGATGCACATTGGATTGGAGAAAGGAAAGAGTATGCATAGTTGCCCAAATAAGAGGTGAGAGTACTCTTCCCAAAGGAAGAGAGGTGTTCAGAGCTGACAAAAGGATACATGTTTCCTACATGTTATCCTTTGGCTGTTCAGTGCACATATGCATACACACACACACACGCTGGTTTTTACATACCTATAGTTTCTCTTAACATAAAGCAACTATACCTTATGTAATTGAAAATGTGCTTAATTCCTGTGCAGTGGGAGGGGAAAACTCAAAGTCACATCCAGCCCAAATTCAGGATCTTTAAGTGTAGTCAGTCTTGATAAGGTCCCCATTTAGCTAAACAACAAATAATGCATTTTTCCCCAATGCACAAATATATAATAGAGGGGATGGGGAAAAGGATAACAAAAACTAAAAAAAAAAAAAGGGAAAAAAGGAGACTCACTGTGCAAAAGTTGAGCATATACTGCATCCTGTTGGACAAGAATAAGGGTAAGAAGGGCTTCTCTTCTCCAGCAGAGAACTAAGATCTTTGGTCAGCCACTCTAAGTGTCGAGATTTCCTTTATCTATTATCCTCAAAGACCCTTCCTTACAGGAGTAGTGACAAGGAGTTTCCAGGGACCACTCTAGCAACTGTTGTCATCTCTTTGCTGATACCGAGACTGGGATGTTGTCTTAGACAAGCACACCAGTAGAGGCCTTTTGCAAGGACAAAGGCTTTCTGGCAATCCCTTAAAATTTCCGTGGCTGTCTGTCAATGTCATTTGGGGGAAATCCATTAGGTTGTTATCAGAAATCTCATTGAGACAGTAAGCTTGAGTAGGTACTTTGCCCTTCTTGTTTCTATCTCTTGGAAACTGGCCTGGCAACTCTGTCAATCACCCTGCATCTTAGTTCACTGTCTTTGCCACAGACTCTATCCGTGACAGGGAGAGAAACAGGCTGGGATTGTAAAGGCAGGTTACAGCTTCAGACTCTATCCCCTAATTTGTGCACCATTCAACTGGAATAATGGGAGAAATTACTTTTAGTTGGTAAGGGGGGCACAATGGAAGATATTTGAGAAGAGTGGTGAGGAATGAGATATCCCTGACTCCACTGCCTTGCTGGGGATCTACATTCCTGGTTAGTGTATGAACCTTATGGGGGCAGAAATTTTAGTTGTTTCAATTGGCAGAGTAGATACTATATAATCATGATCAGTAAATCCACTGGCAGAAAGGACTCCTCTTAACAGCTATATAAGTATCATCCTGTATCACTGCTCATCTTTTTCAGAATGGCTCTACTGAACCATTTGTCTGTCTCATAGTACTAAGGGAGCAAGAAGTAGCCAATATATTCCAATAGGCTGATTTTTAAAAAACCAAGTTAATAAAGCTAGAAGCCTTAGTGGGCATAGCTAACTGTTGTGAGGGATCACTGTTTGTCTGATTGTTTTTAGTTAGCAACCCAATGCAGGCAAATGCTTTCGTAAATATAAAACTGCATGCTTAGATTCCATGTTAGTGTCAAATTACTAGAAGTTTTGAAAGTCTCCTCTCAATTTCTATAGCTATTTCATTGCTGATTTCACTGCAGTTTGCAAACTGGCTTTGGTCCATACACCACATTTTAAGTAATACTGATCTAACAGATAAATATCACTATTTTCCCAGACAAGTTATCAATTTCTGTGTTAATGGAGAGTCTTGGTTTGGAACATACACTGTATATTCCAACCTCACCTACCACCTGAATAATGAATGATATTATAATCTTACCAGGCACCTAAATAATGGAGCATATTCTAAGACCAATGAAGCCCACAGACTGTATCTCATTGCCTTACTTCTTTTATCATGTGAATTCCTTGGTCAGAGGAACAGTGTATGGGCTAATGTGGCAGTGTGCAGACATTCAATAGGTCTATGGAGAATGGTGCTTGCAGCAAAACCAAAATCCATTTCCAGAATGTGGAACCGTTGTAGTAAGACAAATCATTGACTAATGTATGACAAAAGGGATTCCAAAGTAATTGACATGCTTTATACCAGGTTGCTTGTTAGTCCCCTGAAAGAAGTTGCCTCATAAAGACCTTAAAATTTGTCACTGCTGCAGGAAAATTGACTTTACAGCAATGGCACTGATCATCGGATTACGCCATTTCCCTTGCCATTCCCTCGGTAAATCACGTTATGCTGCACATTAAAACCCTTCACTTCTCCCAGCACTTGGAAGAAAATCCAATCTCTCTTCTATGTCTACAAGGCACTGAAGGTTTAAGGCCTTAGTCTCTCTCCAATTTCATTTCATGTCACTTTCCCTGGATTTGATCAGGATGCCCCATCCACCCTAATGCGCCAGCATAGCAAACTTTTAGCCTCTTGCTCCCTCTGCCGGTAGCACTATGAACATCTCTTTCACTCCCATCCCTTCCCGGCAACAGCGGATGTTACCTCCTTAAAGTCGTCTCCCCATTAACACACAGACATAACTTTCCAATCAAGCTTCTTGTTTATTTTCTTCACTTACACCTAACACAAGCTACAATTATTTTATATTTTCCTAAAATAAGTTAGTACAGAAATTGAAACAAAATGGAAATTCCATAGATCTACAGGGCTTTTAAATGCTCAGATATTCTTCTGAACAGAGAGGGAAGCAAAAGATCAAAAGGCATTCTCTGAGACCCAGTAAATAATAAAATACCCAAATGGTCGCATACTCCCAAATCCCCTGAAGTCAGCCCTCCTCTTTTCTCCCAAAAGGACAGTGGCTTTACCATTTTTCATCCAAGAGTCACACCAATCAGAGGCCAGGTACCCCATGATCCCGCCTTGAGGCCTTTTATTAAATCAGAGCTGCCCCCGGCCTCAACCAGGGGCCGAGGCTTCTGACTACAGCAGCTGAGCTCGGGAACGGAGGCCTGTGCCTGCCTGAGAGTAGGGCTCCGGGGGCGTCTCAGGGTTCTGCACTGCCTGGCGCTCCCCAGGCCGTTACTCGAGTCTCGCTCCCGCCGGCAGCGTCTCTCAGGCCACCCCCCGAGGGCTCCTCTGGCCCCAGCGCGGCCGTTCACACTGGCGGGTGTGCGCCTCTCGGGATCCCCGGATCATTCCAGGGCTGCTTGGGTGCAGAGCCGTGGAAGGGTCTCAGCCCCCAGGGGCCCAGCTTGGGAGTGAGCGCCCTCCTACGCCCGCTGGTCTGAGCCTCGGCTGGACCCACGCTCCAGCCCTAGCCTGAAGCCGCTCTCTTCCCCGTCCATCCTTCCCGGATCTGGCTACACCGCGTGAAAGACTCTGAAGGGCTCGGGCTCCAAGGCGGAGCCCCGACCACAAACCCAAGTTGAGTAAGGAATAGCGAAGGGAGAGGCGACGGAAGTGTGACGTAAACTCCCTGCCCTATCTTTCTGTTTGTCCGTCTATCCATTCATCCATCTATCCACCCCTCCATCCGCCATCACCGCCTATCGCTGTTATTTTAGGACCACAATTAGAATCCTTAATGAAACCTTTATCGCGACGTCGTACATGAACGCGTTTAACTGAAAAAGCGAAATAGGACTTTTTCAGACAGAAAATATCTTAGAAAATAAATTTTGTTGTTGAGAACTGGTTTTGCTATGTTAAATAGTGGACCTTTAAGTTGAATGAGCTAACGAGAAAGTTCTGTGGTTTTGACAAAAAAATTAAAGTCCTTTTATATTATACTGTATGCCAGGTATTACGTACTCATGTTTAAATATCAGCTAAAAATGTACAAAGATCACGCAGTTTTGTTTTGTTTTCCAAAATCTTTTTAGGTGGTCCTCAAGCAAAAAAAAAAAAAAAAAAAAAAAAAAAAAGTCTAGCCCAATAGCAGTCCCCGTCCCCAATACCCGGACGTCGCCAAACCCAGGAGCGGGAGGGGCCAGCTTTGAGGAGACCAGGAAGGAGGAAGGGAAAGTAGGGAAAGGGGCGGGGGGGAAAGTGACGGGAGCAGTGAGAGCCGGAAATGACTGGCTAGCGAGGAACCCAGGGGCACCCTGTCCGGCGGCGCTCTAGCCTCCGCGTGCTGTCTCTATGCTCCCCCTGCGTCTGGTCTATTTATTGTCGCGGGGAAGAAGCGGCCGCCCAGTACCCGGAACAACAAAGCGAGAAAGACGGAGCCCGAGCCTCGGGGGCTCCTAGCAACGGGCCGGGGCGGGAGTTCCATGGAGACTGGGGAGCGCGCCCGCCTTATCATCATCCTTGTCCTCCAGCTTATCCTTCGCGTCCGACGTAACCGGCAGCAGCGCTGCCGCCGCGTTCTCTGCCGCCGCCCCCTCTTCCCACGGTAACCCCGGAGGCGACCCTGGGCGGGGGGAGCGCGGGCGACTGGGCGGCCTGAGTGCCGGGGCTGGTGTGTGCGAGCCCGGCCGTGCTGCGGGTGGGAGGTGAGGGGGCGGACGACCGGAGGAGAGGAACTAAGGTGGGGGCAATTGGTCCCGGGGCCGAGGGAGGGTCCACTTCTTAGGAGGACAGGGTGATATTTGGGGAGCTCATCAGGGATAACGGCGTGGGGGCGGGGCGTCCGTGCCTTCGAGCGTTATCGAGCAGGGTGTAGCATAAGAAAAGAGGTATTTTTATTTTTCGTGTTAGCCACCCCAGGGAAGGCAGGAGAAGGGTGATTTCCCCATCTGCCTCTGTGAAGCTCTCACCGGAGGAAGAAGGATCGTGCAGAGATGCTAGGGGGTCCATTGCTTCCCGGAAAACTTCCAGCGGCCTGTGCCGCGGCGGGAAGGCTCCCGAATAGCATCTTCGCCGGTTCCTGGTGCTGGCAATGCCAACAGCCCCGCTTTATTATTATTGTTATTAACCAAATTAGGTTTGATGAAGGGTCTGGAACTAAGAAAGAAAAATGAATTGTGGGTAGGGCTAAGCAAGGATGAGAATTAGGATAAGCGCTTAATGATAGCCAGTAAGAGCCCTAAAAGTAAATGTGTTTCGGAATGACGGTTTTTCAGACTCCTTCTGCGGTGATGTGCATCTGCGGGCTCTGTCAGTGTGCTCGTTGCAATAAGACTCACAGTGCAGCTAGTCCACATCTGTGAGCTCTCTGGCTGCATCTGTCACCTGCAATTCCAAAGCGACACCGGCAGTTAACCAGCGTGGGCTTGTGTATTTAGGGTTAAGAACAGTGCTTTAAAATGGGCTCGAGGAAAAAAAAAGAAAAAGGAAACAAGCTTGTTGTGATTTTTGTGCGAAGAACCAATTACAGAATCCCTGAGAAAATTGAAAAAGAAATATAAGGAAAAATTTCAGCTATTGGAGCATAATCTGTTCTTAAAGTTTGAGAAAATGGCAGTTCATACAAATGGAGAAGGGACTTTTATCGTTATCTGTTTTGATGAATTATTCACAGTCTGCTATGTCCAGCTACATATTTATCAGCTTATATTACCTCTTTATGTTTTACATCTCTATTTAATGGTTTTATACCTTCCCAAATCATTCCAGGTCAGTAACTGAGGTTTCCCTATGGCATACTGAAAAGGCTACATATACCTATTAGAGAACATAATTTTTGTGTCCAGTGAGAATAAAGCTCTTTATATTAAATCGAGGATTAAAGATGAAAATAAAACTGATAAGTCATAGAAGCAATTATGTCAACCACAGCCTCTGTTTGTCTCCCCACTTTTTTTTTTTTTTTGTTAAGTCTGGCTTGTCTTAAAATGTGTCATCCTTATTGCCAGCCCCCTCTTTTCATATTCTCTGCCTTCAAAATCAGAAACTGTAATGGTCTGCTACTGAGTGTTCTTGATTGGTTGACTGGTGCCAGAATAGAGCTTTTAACTCAGGCATTTTCATGGAATTGAGATGAATTGAGGTTCAGTGTCTCTTGTTAAAGGAAGTTCACAGATGTGCAAAGAGGTGAGCAGTTTCCTTTAATGGGAAGTATAAACATTGGGAAACTTAAAATTGCATTTTAGGACTCCTCAGTGGAAAAACACAGTATTGTCACCTTTAGGTTAAAGAATCAAGGATTGTTGTTTAATCTTTTCACAAAGCTGTTCTTCTGTGAAGGATATCCTGGGGGATGACCCCACTCGAGGCTGTTGGCTGTTGTGTCCCAAGATTTTCATAGTGCCTATGATACTTAGTAAATTTCCTCAATCTCAGGGTTGCCATCACGCTGACTTCACCCAGACCTATTTGTGTTCACCTCTGTCCCTTCTGTGTTAGAGTGGGAGTCAAGCCCTATCTTCCATCTTTAGTAACAGTCCCAGTTTCTGCATTCCCTGCTCTTTACTATAACATTTTCAGTGTTCAGTGGTGTTTTAGTTTCTCTCCTTATTTAATCATGTCTCAATCAAAATGATTTTTTGTGCTATTTGTATTATTTGTTTCTTATGGAGTTTTCAACATACGTGGTTGGCCTATATATCTTTTTCATTAATGTTACTTTGTTGTATTTCCTTCTGTATCCCTCCCCTTTATTTGGAGAATTGGAGTGGTCATGTCACATGTCTGTATTTATTCTATTTGTGCAATACAACAGGTTAAGAGCCTCATGCTGAGACTCAAAAGACTGTATTGAAATAAGGCATGTACAAAATGTTGTAACTTTGCAGAATTAAAGGTGTTTTTAGAAGTTCAAGGGGTAGTATTATAACTCTAGACATAGTCACTTTTTTAAAGGTAAGACAGTATTATAGATTTTACTGTGTGCTTTTAATTGAACCTAAGATTTTCATAATTCTTATTCTAAAAATGTTTCCTTAACATCAGTCATTTCTGATTATTTTGCATGTGAATATTTGACTAAAATTACATTTTGCCAAATTTGAGGAAACAATTTCAGTGATTTCCACAAGTTTTTCTTTATGTGGAAAATTTTTGTCTCAAAATTTTTGTGGATATATGATAGTTCCCTGTTTATCTGTGGTTTTGCTTCCCATGGTTTCAGTTACCCTTGGTCAACCATGGTCTGGAAGCAGATGATCCTCAAAATGTTAATAGTAGCTTAACACTAGTTCATAGTACATACATCATTCATCTCACTTCATCTCAACACAGACATTTTATCATCTCACATTATCACAAAAAGAAGGGTGAGTACAGTACATGAAGATATTTTGGGAGAGAGAAAGACCACATTTACGTAGCTTTTATTGCAGTATATTGTTACAGTTCTGTTTTATTATTGTTGTTAATCCCTTTCTGTGCCTAATTTATAAATGAAACTTTATCATAAGTCTGTAGGAAAACTTAGTATATATAGCTAAACCTATAGTATATATAGGTTTGGTATTACATAGTTTCAGGCATCCACTAGGGGTCTTGGAACATATCTGCCACAGATGAAGGAGAACTACTATATACATATATAAAATGTGCAGAATTTGCTTTAAAGTAGAACAAATACATGTGAAATATGCAACTGAATTTTTGAGAGTGTTATTTCTTACAGATCTATCACATTTAAAATAAATATTGGATAATCTAGTTGAGTGGGTATCAGTGTTTTTAGGTGAAGGAGGTCTGTAATAATCTGGTGATTGATTTCCTTCTGTTGCATCATCGACCATGTGATGAAATTATTATTGCTTTGAAAAATAAAATTATATTGATTTTAGAAGAATTTATAGTAGAGTATTTCCACAGTGTCTCTAACTGAAAACTTGTAGTGCTTTGAAAATTTATCTGTGTTGTGATATTTGAATTGAAAAACAAGGATTTCCTGAAATTTATATTCATATCTGTTGCACCTTGAGATGCCTGATGCCAAATCAGGTATGGACACCTGGATGAAAGATGTTTCTCTTCAGGTGTTTTTTGTGACCTTGTAGATAGCAGAGAAACGCTGTACATGAATACCAAAACATGACACACAAATCTGAATTTAAATCCTTTTTTACGTACTGACTGGTGCTATTGGTGTACAGATTTCATGGTGTGTACAGATTAGAGGTTTCTTGAGGATCAGGACTGTGAGTTGGCATCCTGTTGTGTATTAATGTCATGCAAGTGTGTGTGCATGTTTGAAGATTAACATGCTAATAAAAGGAGATATATTTATTTATTTATTTATTTTTCTTTCACTTCAGGAAGCTCTCTGGTACATGAGGGCAGTCTTTCAGATATCTAATTAGTAATCTAATTCTTGATGCCTAAAATTTCAACTTTTTTATGCTGGCTACAAGTTAAAAGCAGCAAAAATTTCTCTGACATGATTAGGGCCTTTTTTTTTTTTTTTTTTTAACCAATTCAGATGATAAAAATAATGGTTTACTGCCTTGAGTAGATACAGTCTTTTCTTTTGAGTAGATGCAGTCTTTTCTCTTGTCCCCTGAATACCACCTTGGGCACTTTCAAAAAGGAGAAAGAGTATATGCATGTTTGAGGTCTTTCCAGGCCACGGATGCAAATTTGACTTTTGATACAGCCTTTTATTAGGTAGGGAGATGGAGTGTGTGTGTGTGTAATTGTGGAAAAACCACGATTCCAGAGGTATGTCATTAATGAAAAATAATCAGGTTGTATCAGAAATTGTATTCATCTTGCAGCTGGTGATAAAATTCAAAGTTTGGTTTAAATGGCTTGTTTTGTATGGGAGACATGCTGCTAGGGATCCCATTAAATGTTTAAAAAAATACACTAAGGTGATTTTTGGGACAGTTCAAATTGGCCTTCATGTAGGAATCAATAGTGAAACTGTTTAAAATTTCACCAAGAAAATGCAGCACAAAAGTTTGGCTGGCAACTTTGACCACACAGGATTCATTCAAGCAAGAGTACTGCAAATCAGAGTCAATGTTGTGTTTTCTCAGGACATGTGTGGGTGACCCTTAGTATTTTAAGTTGGAAATTTTTTATTAGTTAAGTAGTTCCAAAGAGTCATGTGCTAACCTCCTTTTGCCCATAAATTACAGGTATTTTCGTTGTGAGGCAGAACATTTTTGATCAAAATACTTTCTTGGGATTAGGGTTAGTTACAGGACTCTGGATACAGGTTGTCTGTGTTCAGCAGAGTGTCTTTGCTCCTTCTTGATGGTGTGGCCGTGAGCCAGTTATTTCATTGCCTGGATTCCCCAGTTTCCTCAACCGCAGTATGGGGTTAATACTAGCACCATGCCTCTGGGGGTTGCTGTGAGAGCTAAGTGTAAAGTCCCAGAACAATGCTCAGAATAGTGAGCTAAAAAACTATGAACTGGTCCTCCCAGCAGCGGTACTAGGCCACACATTCAAGATGAACCAGCTGTATGCTTTGTTTCTTCCCTCTGGGGGCTTTCTGTTAAAGCATTGGAATTCTTGATTTGCAATCACGGACTGTTGGACTCATCTCTACCATTTGGTTTTGGCGGAGAGGGAAGCACTTTTTAAATTTTGAAGTATCACACAGGCATCTGATTATCACTTAGGGCAGATGGACTAAGTAAAAAGAGACATCTCTGTTTCTTGGAAAAGGAAGGCCAACAAAGCCTGGTCTGGCACCACATTGCAGCTGTTGAAATGCTATTACCCTGTGGACTTGACCGCTTATTTTGCTGTATGGTGCTTCTGAATAAAGGGAATAGACCCGATGGTTTCATTTAGCAGAATTCGTCTTTCTTTAGAGGGCACTATTTTTGCTCGTATAACCTGAAATGGTGGTAAACTTGAAACTTGCTGGTGTCTTTGTCAAGCCATTTAACTTGAGTTTTCTGTGTCACCATAAATGTTCTACATAGTAGCTTTCTTGTAATTTTAGAGGTAGCTGAAACTGCTGCTCCGCTCTAGTGATTCAGGCGGCTCAGGAGTGACTGCATACGATTGGAGCAGTATTTGTTTATGGTAAGGCTGGCGCCATATACTGAGGCTTACCTAATCAGGGGAATAACTTGATAATTGTGGCTTTGTTTAGGGGGTTATTGGAAAGGTTAACTTTTCATAGTTAAATCCAAGTGTTTTAGTTCAGTTATATGGGCATTTGAAACAGCTGACAGAAAATAAATGTTTCTGCTTTTTCATTTATACACTGAATGGCAAACTGTTCTTTCCCGTTTTGGCTAATATCCAGCTCTTGGATTTAGTTGATAGAATATTTTTATAAAATGTGTGTTACAGAAGTTTATATAAAACATGCTATTAAAAATGTGTTTTACTTCAAATGTACAGGAGTGGAGTTTTATAACTCTTTCTTCCATGCTGTGCTGTTTTTGTTTGTTTTAGTTGGGTTTTATACCTTTCCGCACTAAGAAAATTGGCCAGTATGCTTGTATTTGGAGATGTGGCTTTTGTTTTCCTGTTTAAAGAGAATGAAGTCTAGTTGATCTCGCTGATTTAGTTGGGTAGTCACTACATTGGCCAGATTGATTTTTGTATTGATAGAGTACTGTTAACATTATTCCTATAGCCATCATGGATTGTGGATCTGAAAAATCTTGAGATACGCAAAGAAATGGTCATGGCTATTTTACTGATATCTTTATAGATATGGATATAGATAAATTGATGTATACATACACACTTAACTTATATCCTTTAGCTTTAGATATTCGAAGGACGAAAGTGGGAAATTTTTACAAAAACAGGTCTCCAAGGTGTCAGTATTGCCCTGAATAAAAGCCTGTTTTGAAATAAAAGTTTGACTGACACATTGTTAATGTTTCCTTAAAGTTCTTTCTACCAAACTTTCTCAGGGATAGGTGTTGCTGTCCTTGAGATACAAAGACAATAAAGCTAATGTGTAATCCAAATGCTCAAATATGAAGATGGGAATTTGGTTTTTGACTATGGTCAACATTTATAGAACCTATCATTGTTTGAACCTTAGCTAAGATTCATGAAACCTGAAGCTTTTATGGAAAAAGAACCCTCTCATTTTTTTTTTTTAATTTCCCACATAGTTTTGTTGAGCAACAAAGCCTTTTTTTTTTTTTTTCCTTCCCAGCTTATGGCTACAGTGAGCTTCTTAGCTATCTCCAGTTATTGTATGCATGTGTAACCTAGTGACATTGTAATGGGTATCCTTTAATTGCTCATGGGTTGACCATATCCCAGGATCCCTGCTGGTGTCACATTAGGGTAGATGTGGAAGGCACAACCAAGCTGAAGGCATATTCACTTATTCATTAGACCTTCCTCAGCATGAACTTGGTATGCTAATCTCAAAGGTACACCAGATTTCCTAATGCAGTTCTCTACTCCTTTTTTTTAATGGGGACCTAGAGTAATGTATGTGACACAGCTCAACAGTTTATAACTTATAAAGCCATGTGAATAATATGTTTATCAGCTTCTCAGCAGCATATTGTTAATGTAAATCTGTATGTCAGTATAGCGGAAAAAACCTTTGGCTGACTAGTGATCTTGAAATTTCTGCTTTAGTGCATAATACAGTACTACTTGGATAATTGTTTAATTTGTGTGTCCATTAAGAAAGTGTGCCTTTTAATTTACTCTTCCTTGCCTGTTAAACTGAAAGAGTATCAAATGTTTGAAGTTACATTCATTTTTTAAAAGATTTTATTTATTTATTTGACAAACAGAGATCACAAGTAGGCAGAGAGGTAGGCAGAGAGATGGGGAGAAGCAGACTCCCTGCTGAGCGGAGAGCCCGGTGTGGAGCTCAATCCCAGGACCTTGAGATCAAGACCCGAACTGAAGGCAGAGGCTTAACGCACTGAGCCACTCAGGCACCATTGAAGTTACATTCTTAAGTTGTCTTGTGTTATATATCCTTACTCTCACTTCCTAAAGAGAAGAAGGATGGCTTTATCATCATACCCATTCAATTGATAATTGATGTGTGCTATAAATAACTGACCTGTTAAATAGTCTCTGACCAGCTATTGTGGAATGGATTTAGGATACGGATGAGTAAGGACCCTTGGGGTTACAATGGAGAATGTAACTCTCGGGAGAAAGGGAAGGGAATATATATATCAAAAGCGCTGAGGAGCCGTATGCGTGTTTCAATTAAAGCAATTCTTTCCTTAACATCAGAAACATGTTCCTGTATTTGTAAAAGCTCCTAAAACACAATTACCTTTCAGGATTTGGGGATCTAAACAAAAACCAAGAATAACTTGTTAGCTGAATGAGCACTAAGCAGAACATTCCGACAAGTTAAATAAGGAAATAATATGATGCTGCTAGAGAACTTGGAGTGGTTTGGGGGAGACTAAGATCTTACTTGTAATCATGGAAGATGTCTACCCTTCCTACTTATTCCCCAGCCCCACCATTCTCTCTTTCAGTTGTTCTTATTCATTTAATTTAGCAACTCTTTATTGAGTCGATGACCAGTTGCCAGCTAAGCCAAATTCTAAGGACACATGTTTGTATTAAATGGTTGTCTTTAAGGAGAGTGGTGCCTACAGTCTTGCACACAGTGTATGATACAGACAGTACCTTTGCAGCACCCTCTGCTTGGATTCCCTCTCTCAGAGTTTCATGACTGGCTCCTTATTCCGCAAGATCTCATTTTAATAATTTGTCTTCTCTGAGTAAGGTAAGAAGCCTGCCCGCATCATTCCCCGTAGAGTTTCTCTTTTGTCATCTTATTTCCTTCATAACTTAAATCACATTCTCTCATTGTTTTAGTTGCGTGTCTTTTTGTTGTCAGATTCTGCAGCTGCTGTGAAGGTGCCTTACTGACCATTTTGTTCTGAGCTGTAATCCCAGTGTCTAGCCACGGTGCTTGGTTCACATCAGTTGCATGTTCAGTGAATCCAATTAAAAGTATGAGTCTGTTGAAGCACTGAGGAAAGGGCATCGTAAGCAAATACAAAATTAGGAAAAGGTCTGCTATTGCAGGAGAAATGGTAGAAAGTTGAGATTGTTAAGGGGTGTTGGAAGTGGAAGATTAATTACAAAAGGTAAATTGGGGACTTGGAGCTCACTGCATTCCAAGCCAACCAGGCTAGATTCTGTTTTGTCCGTGCAAGAGAGCCAAGAGACTTTTTAAGCAGGGGTGTGGCACAATTAGGAAGATAATTCTGGCAGCTTATTTGGTAGATGGACTGGATCCTGGGGATTGTAGGCAGAGCTCCGTTAGAAGGCTGTAGCCATAAGAACATGAGAAAGCCTAAAATAAAGTGCCAATGCTTTGGATGCAGAAAAGAAGCTAGATGAAAAGTTCATGGGGTGGAAGAGAAAAAGAAGAGCTGAAGGATGATTCTGAAATCTCTGAATCAGGTGTGTGAGTGTTGGAGGGTGGCTCCATTGACTGAAAGTGGGAATTAAGAGACCACAAGTATTTCTGAGGGGACTGATTAATTTCGGATATGTTGGTTTGATTTAATGAATATGCCGAACAGCCAGTTAGAAATATGGATTCAGATCTCTCATAGGTTAGGATTGATGTAGGAGCCATAAGTCAGAGACAGCAGTTGAAGCCTGGAAAGCTTAAAGAAAAAAAGGATTTATGGGAGTGATTTATAACCTTCAGGGATCTTAAACTCATTGAGAATATGGAAAAAAAAGTGGCCTCCTCAGGTATGCACCCCAATTTGTATGTATACAATTTCAAGGGGTCCCTCACCTCTGGAACCTGTTGATGAGCTTTTCAGGACTATCGTGGATTTCAATGAAGGACTTCGAGTTTAAGGAAGAGACAGAAGTATTTGAGATGGAAGAAGAATGTAGGAAAGGTGCCTCAGAAGCCAAAGAATAGGGGATGGTGAGGGAGAATTTTGAGAATCAGGAGTGCCCAGTGTTTTATCTTCTGGAGAGGTCCTTTAGGAGGGAGTTTCAACTGTGACATCAGATTCAGAGGTGAGCCACTCATACCATGCAGAAGACAAGGCAGACTATAAAGGTTTAATGCGTGAATCCAGTTAAGGAAACAATGCATGGTAAACAGTGTGCAGAAGTCTTGATGTTCTCTAATGATAAACAGTCCTGATCTGAGAATAGAGCCCATTTTAAGGACCTGCTGAAAGGGAAATTCCATTATTTTGACGACCTATTGTGGCGTTTCAGCCCAGTGGCTCTCTACTAGCTGCCCATTAGAAACAACTCAGAAATGTTTTAAAAAATTAGAGCCCCATGAAGGTTAGTTAAACAATATCTTGGGGGATTGAGGCTTTTCACAGTTTTCATTTTGTTTGTTTTATCTTTTTCTTAATAGTTAAGAACTGGTGTTCCAGTCAGAAAACTTCGTTATCGCTCGTTTTATGTTCTATGTAAGAATCCTTTCTTTTAGTTGTATGTTATCTAATTACTCAGCTTTACTGTTGTGCTGTTTTAAAATATTTTTTTACTTTCTCAAAGATCTTAATTTCCAGTTTAAAAAAAGTTACAGCTTTCTTCTACTCTTCAGCTCCATTCTCCATACTGACTGTTTTTGAGTGACGCAGCCCCCGATCAATTAAAAACCTAACAGCTCTGAGAAAAATAAGGAATTCTTAATGGTGCTTACATGTGGAAAGAGTATTCATTCTCTAATCCTGTTTGCTTTTATTTAAGTATGTTACTTTTTTTTACTAAATAGTAAAAATTATTTTTTAGCCAGAAGTTTGCACTCTGTATACTATTTTCCCACTAGCTAACTTACCTTTCTTTTCTTAAAAAGGCAGTCATGCATGACATAGACCTTAAATAGGTTGTCTACACAAGAGCACATGGTTTATATGAGGGGTAAACCTGTAAAAGCAGTTGCAAGGGAACTGCCAAAATAGAAAATTCTACATGTTGTGTTTTCACCTTGCCGTTCTTTCTCTTGATTAAATTCTTGATGAGCTGTCAGCATTCGAGTTTGCACCCTGTATTCACACCCCTGAATAAAAAGCAGAATACAGAGAAGTTTGAACTTCATGCGTTGTCCACCCTAATACCAACCAGAAGCT